TTTCAAACAAAATACCGTAGTAGCAATTGAAATAATACTAAGAAAATCTATAAGGATTTATTGGAGTACATGTCAAAATTGCACAGCAAACGCTGAATTTTTTTAACTTACAAAACTCACAGAAAAGGATTTACACATGATTGATCCAAATGTTTTGGACCATTGTGTTTATATGTGATGTGTCTTTGTATGCCATTCCAATGTAATCATAGAATTTATTGTTGTACATTATTCATATTGCATGGATCACATGACTGAAAAACAAGCATGCAGCTTAAGTATGATGGCATCATCAGTGGAGAGTCAGGAGAAGACAGAAATACAAGTCAATGGGGAGCAGGTCAAAGTCTCTGTACCCAATGATCCCATAGCAACCTTCATGACTCATGTACTACTTCAACACTGTCTCCAGCTGCTTCACTCAACTTAAGGTAGTCAATTAGCTGATTCTTTAAGTCGTCTCAGAGACAATTAGAATTATTTTCAACTGACCCATGAAGAAGAGGTCCAGCAAATAAAACATTCTCTTATTTATAATCCAGACGCCATGACTGGAGTCATATAAGCAAATGCTATTATTTGTGGTTTTTTCTAAAAAATGGCTCCAAAATCACCCCAAATTTTTATTACATTTTCTGATACATATTGATGTCCTTATGCTGTGTAGAAAGTTTGAGGTGATTCCGACAAATATTTTTCAAGTTATGGCCATTTTGAGAAACTGCCAAAATTCTGAAAAATACTCAAGGCTTATAGCCCATGGTTTTTTCCAAAAAATGGCTCCAAAATGACCCCCAATTTTTATTACATTTTCTGATACATATTGATGCCCTTATGCTGTGTAGAAAGTTTGAGCAGATTCCGACTTCAATTTTTTGAGTTACGGCCATTTTAAGAAAATGCCAAAAATCAGAAAAAAACCCAAGGCTATAGCCCATGGTTTTTTCCAAAAAATGGCTCCAAAATTATCCCCAATTTTTAGTACATTTTTAGATACATATTGATGTCCTTATGCTGCGTAGAAAGTTTGAGGTTATTCTGACTTCAATTTTTCAAGTTATGGCCATTTTGAGAAAGCGCCAAAATTCTGAAAAATACCCAAGGCTATAGCCCTTGGTTTTTTCCAAAAAAGGGTCCAAAATGACCCCCCATTTTTATTACATTTTTAGATACATATTGACGTCCTTATGCTGTGTAGCAAGTTTGATGATTCCGACAAATATTTTTTGAGTTATGGCCATTTTGAGAAAACACCAAAATTCTGAAAAATACCCAAGGCTATAGCCCATGGTTTTTTCTAAAAAATGGCTCCAAAATCAACCCAAATTTTTATTACATTTTCAGATACATATTGATGTCCTTATGCTGTGTAGCAAGTTTGAGCTGATTCCGACAAATATTTTTCGAGTTATGGCCATTTTGAGAAAACACCAAAATTCTGAAAAATACCCAAGGCTATAGCCCATGGTTTTTTCCAAAAAATGGCTCCGAAATGACCCCCAATTTTTATTACATTTTTAGATGCATATTGATGTCCTTATGCTGTGTAAAAAGTTTGAGGTTATTCTGACTTCAATTTTTCAAGTTATGGCCATTTAATCCTGTTCATTAGGTACTTCTCCTGGTGGCACTTCCCTTCCAATCATAATAGGATCAATATTTAGACTAGTAACAGTTTCCTAATTTTGACACACCCATTTTAAATTACACTTCCTTATATTCCTCATCAACAATAGGTAAGTTACATATTACTTTACACTATTAATGCCACACCCATACCTTTACAGTACTATACTGTGTACAAGTAAAGTAAAAATTAATTTTTTATTGGGCGAAGCCCTTACTTACAAGAACTTGAACGTACGTCTGGGCGTGACTGGGAGGTGCAGTCAGGAGGCGAAGCCCTTCAATGTTTTACATTCTTTCTAGTTATTAGTTTATATAATAACTGTAGAGCTGACACAAAATCATTATCAAATTATTATTATTAAAAGACATGAAACTAAATCCAGCATGTGTATAGATTATGATGCATTGATCATTACATGTATGTCTATTATGTTATACTTGTATCTTAATGATTAATATTATGTGTACATGGTGAAATGAATTTGTTATGATTGTGATTCCAGTGAACTCATTAATATTCTTTATAGAAGCACTATACCAGGAATTAGTTTTAAGTAATAAAATAAAATAACATTCTGTGTATATTACCATTGCATCATGTACATACTGCATGGTTTCTATTGGTATTGGCTGTCATCAGTGTGGGATACGTTGTTACTACGGTTGTTTCCGAGAATTGTTCTGATACAACGAGAGAATTTGTCTTATTGAGCTTATATTATAGAACTACATCTACACTTATGTTTATCACTAGCTCAAGCTGAGGGTAGAACTTGATTCTTACTGCGATTACTCCGAGGACTGAAAACTTCTATATTTTAGAAGTAAGTTTAGTAATACTAAATGAAAATAACTCCTGGCATATATTGCTGTTGCATGTACACTGGCCTCTGTTAGTATTGGCTGTTATTCAGTGTGGGATGCGTTGTTACTACAGTTGTTTCTGGGAATTAAACAAAAGGAATTTGACTTATTTATTGTGATAATTTCATTGTACACGTATGTGTATGTGGCAAAGATAGCTTTAGCTCAAACTGGTTGTATACAGAACTTGCTTGTAACTGTCATTGCTTGGTTGATTGAAAGCCTATACAAAATCAAATTTTAGAAGTAAGTTTAGTATTTTTAGTTGAAATTATTAAAGTAACATCTTTATTAGCTTTTTGTTTTGTGTCAGCCATAAGCTTCATGCTTTTTTCCTTTTTATGAAGTTATGGCTGCAACAATGAGCATGGCTCAGATAGAAATCAAAGACAAGACTGTCAAGGTCACTGTCGCCAGTGACCCAATAGCAGAGCTTATGTACTACTTTGATTATATCTGCAATTGCATTGAACCTGATGATGACTATACCATACGTTGTCTCAGAGATTATAAAAATATTCTCGATTGACCAGCGAAGAAGAAGCTAAGCTTATTGGAATTTGTCAAGCTCTTAGCCCTGACATGGTAAAAAATGCAATATTTTACGAAGTAAGAAGCTGTGGATCATTTACTAATAGATTTGTTGAGATAAAAGCTGCCAAAACGGATGTGGTTGTAGCAGAATCTTTCTTTATGGGTGGGCACTGAAGAAAGATTGTCAGAGTGATGTTTTTTGAGAAAAAATGGATGGTTGATAACTATCATCAGCCATTTATATCTCTTCAAAGGAGGCATCATCCTGCTATGCGCAATAAAAGCAGCTGCTCAATCCAGTGAAGTTTTGAGCTACACAAACATACTAAATACAGTAAATGCTGTTTTATTGAACTTATGATTTTAGTAACACACTTACTTTATATATTTATAATTATGTAAATACTTTTGCTATAGATCAGTAGATTCCTATTAATCTGTATGCGCTATAGTTCTTTAAAAATTCATTGCAATAATTAATGCATTGATTCTGAGAAAGTTGTTATGGAGTATAGCCATTGCAAGATCTATCCTATAATTCAAACTATTGTTCAGTTTGCTAATGTAGAAATTATGAATCAACTATACCATTTCCTAATATGTATTTAAGATAAATGAATTCAAGCATGTACAGTGTATGTATATGCAATCTCACACTTGCTTTATTTATTATACTATTGTCATAGATCAGTAAATAATTTAGTATTTCTTGCTATTATCTAATCATGTCATTGTAGTTTTTCAGAAAAAATTGTTGCATTAATTGATGCATTAATTCAGAGAAAGTTGCTATGGAGTATAGCCATTTCTATCCTATAAGTCAAACTGTTATTCAATTACCAAAATTATTCTCGATTGACCAGTGAAGAAGAAGCCCAGCTTATTACAATATGCCTTGCCTTAAGCCCTGATAAGCTGATAGGATCAATCTTCCATCCTACTGCTGATTGTGGGTCATCATCTAATAAATTTGTTGAGATAAGTGCAGTCAAGACGGATGTGCTTGTAACCGACTCTCTCCTTATTGGAAGGCAGCAGAGAAAGGTTCAAAGCATAATGTTTTTTGAGAAGAGGTGGATGGAGAACAATTTCATTGAACCACTTAAAGCGGTACAGGGAGACTCAACCAGACAAGAAAGTACCTGTGCTATTCAGTAAAGATGTTGCTAACATAAACTCGCTGTTGTTTTGCTGCTGTCTAGACTTTAAGACTTAAAATAGAGTTGCTATTTTATATCTTGTGATGTGTATTTAATAGTCTAATTGTATTCATTTATAGTCTAATACATAGCAAGAGCTATTTGTTTGTCACTGTAGTATTACTTAGCATGCATAGTGGAATTTTTCCAGGAATTGTCATGAATAAATATTATTTATTGTATGGGTCTAGGTCTAGCTGTCATATGACTACTAAATCTGCTTCTCTCTCTCTCTCTCTCTCTCTCTCTCTCTTTCTTGTTATTACTGTCCTGTCACTGAGCATTATCTGATTTAGTATGTTATGTACTTATAATTTATAATGTATTTGGTTAGTAGCTTTATGCAAAAGCAATGTGTCATTACAATTTGTGCTTTATGTATCATTATTGCAATTATCCCTCCAGTAATGAGAATACCATGTAAAACCCTTATCTACTCTTGGTAGTAATGAAGCATTTCCTGGAATTGTCACCACATGATTGCATGAATATAAAAACATAGCCTAATAACAAATATTAGAGTACACATTGAGATTAAATTATTAGACATTGTGATAGAGATTAAAATTTACTGCTCTCGCCCTGTCACTGAGCATTAAACTGGTTTCTAAGTATGTTAGTGTATCTGATTGTATTTATGATGATTAGTTGATTATTGATATACAATCTTCCCTTAATAGCTTTGTCATTGTGTAGTTATGGCTGCAGTAATGGGAAGAACTGAGATAGAAATTAAAGACACTACATACAAGGTCACTGTCCCCAATGACCCAATAGCCAAGCTTATGTACTACTTTGATTGTATCTGCACTTGTGTTGAGCCTGATAGTGACTACACTATACGTCGTCTCAGAGATTATAAAAATTATTCTCGATTGACCAGTGAAGAAGAGGCCCAGCTTATTGCAATGTGCCTTGGTCTCAGCCCTGATAAGTTAATGGGATCAATCTTCCATCCTACTGATGATTGTGGATCATTTTCTAATAAGTTTGTTGAGATAAGTGCAGTCAAAACAGACGTTCTTGTGACCAACTCTCTCCTCATTGGAGGACAGCAGAAAAAGGTGCAAAAAGTCATGTTTTTCCAGAAGAATTGGATGGAGAACTACTTCATTGAGCCTCTTAAAGCAGTGCAGAGGAGACTTAACCCTCCCCCACGTCGTAGGGAAAGCAGTTCCTGCACTATACTCTGAGAATGAACCATTGAACTATTGTATGTGATGCTACTTTAGTATAGTACATATATAACTAGCTATATTGCATTTAGTTAGTATTGTGTCATCCCTGCTATTATAATAATATTTTAGCTTTGTAAGTGGTTGTTTACTAGTATTGCTAGTCAGACTGTTCCCCAGCCTACAGTCATTCTGTAGGCTGGGGAATGGGGACTAGTTGTTTACAGGAACAATTACTTGTAGTAGTGTTGGCTTGATATTGTATAGCTGAAGCTCATGTGCCAATTGTTTATTGTTATAAAGCCTTATAGATTTTCTTAGTATTATTTCAAATGCTACTATTTTGTTTGAAATAATAAAGTTTTAGATTCAATGGTGTACGTGTCAAAATTGCACAGCAAGTGCTGAATTTTTTAACTTACAAAACTCACAGAAAAGGATTTACTCATGATTGATCAATATTTTGGACCATTGTGTTTTTATGTGATGTGTCTTTGTATTATGCCATTCCAATGTAATTCATAGAATTTATTGATGTTTATTATTCATATTTCATGGATCACATGACTGAAAAAGAAGCATGCAGCTTAAGTATGATGGCTTCATCAGTTGAGAGTCAGGAGAAGACATAAATACATGTCAATGGGGAGCAGGTTAAAAGTCTCTGTACCCAATGACCCCATAGCAACCTTCATGACTCATGTACTACTTCAACACTGTCTCCAGCTGCTTCACTCAACTTAAGGTAGTCAATTAGCTGATTCTTTAAGTCGTCTCAGAGACAATTAGAATTATTCTCAACTGACCCATGAAGAAGAGGTCCAGCTAATAAAACATTGTCTTATTTATAATCCAGACGCCATGACTGGAGTCAGTATAAGCAAATGCTATAATTTGTGGTTTTTTCTAAAAAAATGGCTCCAAAATTAAACCAAATTTTATTACATTTTCTGATACATATTGATGTCCTTATGCTGTGTAGAAAGTTTGAGGTGATTCCGACAAATATTTTTTGAGTTATGGCCATTTTGAGAAAATGCCAAAATTCTGAAAAATACCCAAGGCTATAGCCCATGGTTTTTCCAAAAAAAGGCTCCAAAATGACCCCCAGTTTTTATTACATTTTCAGATACATATTGATGTCCTTATGCTGTGTAGAAAGTTTGAGGTGATTCCCACTTCAATTTTTTAAGTTACAGCCATTTTAAGAAAATGCCAAAATTCTGAAAAATACCCAAGGCTATAGCCCATGGTATTTTCTAAAAATTGGCTCAGAAATCACCCCCAATTTTTATTACATTTTTAGATGCATATTGATGTCCTTATGCCGTGTAAAAAGTTTGAGGTGATTCCGACTTCAATTTTTCAAGTTATGGCCATTTAATCCTGTTCATTAGGTACTTCTCCTGGTGGCACTTCCCTTCCAATCATAATAGGATCAATATTTGGACTAGTAACAGTTTCCTTATTTTGACACACCCATTTTTAAATTACACTTCCTTATATTCCTCATCAACAATAGGTAAGTTACATATGATATTACGCTATTAATGCCACACCCCATACCTTTACAGTACTATACTGTGTACAAGTAAAGTAAAACTTTATTTTTTATTATTAGTTTAAAAATAACTGTAGAGCAAACACAAAATCATTATCAATAATATTATCATTAAAAGACATGAAACTAAATCCAGCATGTGTATAGATTATGATGCATTGATCATTACATGTATGTCTATTATGTTATACATGTATCTTAATGATTAATATTATGTGTACATGGTGAAATGAATTTGTTATGATTGTGATTCCAGTGAACTCATTAATATTCTTTATAGTAGCACTATACCAGGAATTAGTTTTAAGTAATAAAATAAAATAACATTCTGTGTATATTACCATTGCATCATGTACATACTGCATGGTTTCTATTGGTATTGGCTGTCATTCAGTGTGGGATACGTTGTTACTACGGTTGTTTCCGAGAATTGTTCTTATACAACGAGAGAATTCGTCTTATTGAGCGTATATTATAGAACTACATCTACACTTGTGTTTATTGCTAGCTCAAGCTGAGTGTAGAACTTGATTCTTACTGCGATCACTCCAAGGACTGAAAACTTGTAGATTTTAGAAGTAAGTTTAGTGATAGTATTAAAGTAATGACATCACTTTTTTGCATAAGTTTTATACTTTTCTTTTTATGAAGTTATGGCTATGTGGATGGAAAGAGCTCAAATACAGATAAAAGATATTACCACAGCAGCAACTGTCCCCAGTCACCCAATAGCCCAGCTTATGTACTACTTCAATTGTATCTGTTCTTGCATTGAACCTGATGATGATTATACTACTATACATCGTCTCAGAGATTTTCAATATTATTATCGACTGACCAGTGAAGAAGAAGCTAAGCTTATTGCAGCCTGTCAAGCTCTTGGTCCTGATATAGTAAAGGATGTGATCTTTTTTGAAGTAGAAAGCTGTGGAGGTTCTGCCGGCAATAAATTTGTTGAAATAAAAGTTGCGAAAACAGATGTAGTTGTAGCAGAATCTTTCTTTTTTGGTGGGCACCGGAGAAAGATTATATGCGTCATGTTTTTTGTGCGTGAATGGATGACCAAAAATTATTATGAGCCATTCGTTGCACTTCGAAGAAGACGTCACTTTGCACTGCAAAAGAAGAGTCGGTGTTCAATCCAGTGAAACTAAGAGCTATACAAAATAGATGCTATTTGACTGAACTATAATTTAGTGACAGATTTACTTAGCATTATATATATTATATATTGTTATAGATTAGCGTAGATAATTATTCTAATCAGTGTATATAGTTCAAATTCATTGCAATAATTAATATTTGATTCTAAAAACGTTCAGTAACAATAGCAATAATATGCCATTCCAATCTTCAAACTGTTATTCAGTTTGCTATGTAGAAATCATGAATCCACTATACTATTTCCTAGAATCACATGATCTCTTTTGCATGTAAAGATAAATGAACTCATGCATTTACATTGTATGTGTGTACAGTGTATGTGTGAAATTTGTGTACCATCTATACTGTATATGATTATGGATTACATGTATATAGTACATGTAACCATTATCCTGTAGCTGGTGTAATGGTGTAATGGTGTAATGTAGCATTAGTAAAACTTAGAGTTAAAAGACATGAAACAGTTAATGTATATATTAATTACTTACTATTGTACATACATGTACATGTACATGCAGTGAAATGAATTTTGTTATGACTGTAATTCCAATGAACTCATTAATATTCCTTAAGCACTATTCTAGGAATTAGACTAGTTTCTTTAAATATTAAACTAACACTTAGTATGCATCACTGTTATTCTGGCCTCTGTATTGGCTGTCATTTAGCGTGGGCTGCAGTTGTTTCCAGGAAATTTTTCCTGAACAAGGAGAATCTGTCTTTTTGTGTGTGTATATTTTT